CCAGTGTGGGGACAGGGCAGAGCACGCACAGTCCGAGCAAGCACAGAGGTCAAGGGAAACAGGAGGCGAAGCACGGGTGCTGCAAGGTCTTCTGGGAAAACTGCCCCCCCACAGAGCCAGGGGCCCTGGTACAGAGGGACTCAAGCCCAGACCTGACTGATGCCAGCCACTCTGTACAGACAGGCTCTGAATGCTTCAACATAATGTCTACTTCGCTGCACTTCTGTCAACTACATGTGGGTGCAAATAGCAACACAGCCATAGTACCACTAACCTCTGAGCTCATAAACAAGAAAAACCTCTAGTGCCAGAAACAGGGGCCCCTCCAGCCATATGTGGCAGTTTCAGCAACGTGATTTGTGAGGACATCAGAATCCTGTGGCGGTGGGGGGACGGGGGTTAACGTTGGCTTGGGGCATTGATTGAATCATACCGTTGCTCTGGCCCTCTGAGATCTTGTGGAATCCTGATTGTGGCATGTTCCACCTCACCCAGAAATCTGATACCCCCACTTTCACATGTTCACTCAAATCATACCTAAACATATGTCATGCTGGGTCCGGCTGAAACCAGATTACACTCTCCTCTCTGAGCTGCTGCTTTCAGCCTCGGCCCCTTGATGCTCAAGCTGTGCCAGCCCATCACGCCAGGACCTCTCAGGTTGAGGTCCAGGCAGAGGTCTTTTTTTAAAGCTTCCCTGGTGATTCCATTTGACAGCCAAGATTTTAACCTCTGGTCTATAGATACATTGTGTATTATTTCTCCAGTCTGAGTTTTTAGCAAGATTTTCCTGAAGAAAGACCCATATTTTTTCCATCTTCTCTAAAAAGCATTCATAAAACCTTCTATTGCAGATTGAAATATAACCTGTGCCTACATTCCCTCTACATATTAATGCAATAACCATGTCACAAAAGAAAATTGTTTTATCGCCTCTGACTTGTTCCTAGTGACCCACAGAACTCCTAGTTGTCCCTACTCCCTTTGGTAAACTTCCCAAACCATATTTTTCATAATCCATTTAGGGATCTTGCCTGCGACTGCTATCAATTCAGACTCGAAGGCATCAATTTTGTTCCTATTTGAAAACCAAACTGTTTTATCACAATTCCTCAAAGGTTTTGTCAATTGCTCAGCAACTTCATACACAAATTCACTCTTGGAAGAAGCTGTTTCCATATGGACTGAAATGGGCAAAGGAGATAAGATTTGAGTTGTATCTTGAAGGCTCTGCATTGGCTTTGACTAAGCTGAGAAGGGTGAGGATGATGAAAATGAGATAAAAACGGCCCGAGCCAAACCAGGTGGGGACGGGGAGAATTGGCTGCAGCAGGCAAACTGGGGCCCAGCCGAGCGCTGGGTCAGGAAACAGTGATATTCACCTGTAACCGAAGGCTCTCATCCCGCTGGGAGGGAGGCACTAAAGAACTCCTGTGCGGTGGGGTCCGCCGGCCACTGCTTTTTCCTATACAATCCCTGCGAGCAGGATTATTGTATTTCTTTGTCTCTGAAGCCCCAACTAACAGCACACCCTAGAATGTATTATTCCACAAATATTTTATTAAATGAATAGATGAATGAATGGACTGGTTTTTCTTGAATGAATGGAACAGAGTTTTTTTTTTGGTGGGGGGGAGCTGTTTATTTTTATATTGTTTTGTTTTGGTTTTTAATGTAATAATGATACATACTGCAATTCTCGTTCTTAAAAAATAAAGAGACACCTCTGCCATGGTCCTGAGGCCATCTGCATGCCCTGCTTGTGACCACAGTGCTGTCTACCATGAGCTATTTCTAAAGCTCTCACGAAGAACCACGCCTGTTTCTGGACTACTGTTCTCTGCCCCATGAAACCAAGCGCGGATGTTTAAGGAGCTGTTGACAACATAACACTTGGAAAGCTAAATTTAGCAAAGAACACAGGGTGGAATGGCTCTTACCCCTGGACTCCACTCCAGTGTCCCCCCCCCCTTCTAAAAATAACCAGGACAAAATATGTCAGGAACAAAAGAATTCTCCAGTTTAAAGTGAGGTACAAGCTCGGCTGGATCGTACAGTCATGCATGAATAAATCCTTCAGAAATGCATCTAATTACCAACGACCAGTCTGAGAAAAATAACCAGGCAAAATGGCTATGGTTAGAGAAATGAAATATCTGAAGAATTAATATTGCTACTGAAATGAATATATGTAAATAAAGAGGGAAGAGTACCTGACTTGTCCTGCCCTGGGTGAGGGAACCGCCTCCACTGCATTGACGTCCATCACGGCCGGTGCGTACCTACCTGCCTCTAAGGTCTGATGGCGGCTGCACCTTCCTTGCAAACACGGTCTGTATGCTCATCACCACTGCATTTTTCACAGCACTCAGCAGTGTTTAGGCGTACTCTGGGCCCTTGTAAGCCCTCTTTGCTGTTCCACTGTGGCACTGATGCTGTTTCTGCTGTCAGACACAAGGGAGATAAACTTAAAAATACGGACACCAAAGTTTGAAAGCACCCTCACGGAGCATACATAGGCAAGGCCTGCCTATGAAACTCGGTAAGGCAGCATCGCACATGGGGAAAGGTGGGCTGCGCAGTGACACCCATAGAGCTGAGGTAGAAGCGCACCCCCAGCACTGGAGTCCCTGGCCTTGGCCAGCCGAGAGTCCCGTTCCCACCTGTTCTTCCCTAAGGGAAAAGGGAGCAGGGGGCCAAGAATAAGAGGGAGAACCACAGAGGAATTTACATGTAGTTGAGCAAATGTCAAAGACACCAACCCGCTTGCTCTTTCAACTATTTGCACGGCGCAGCTGCTGCGTATGGAACACTGGATGAGGTACTAAGAAGCCCACGGAGGGGAGGAAGCAGGAGCTCGTGGTCCGCTGGGGGCACAGACAGGTCAGCGGCAGGGAGCAGCACCAAGTGGCACTGTGGCAGGCGCCACAGACAGGGCGCAGGACAGGCAGCGGGACCGGCCGTGCAGGTGAAGGGAGGCTTCAGCCGTGTGTTGAAGAATGATGGAGCCAGCCCAGTGAGAAAGGGAAAGCAAGAATGCCTGGCACAGGGGACGTCAGGAGGCCTGAGACACCAGGGCGCCATCGGGGGCTGCAGGGACCTGTGCTAAGGTGTGTCGGGCTCAAAGACGGCAGGGAGGGGCCAGGTGGGAAGCCCACGGACTCACAAGATGTTGGATGGTGACCACCTCAGGACTGAGAAGCCCTGAACACGTTACCTGGATCTCCAAGTCCCAGTTTTCTCTTCCACAAATAGCACCAAGGGTGCCCACCCGCAGGCCCCCTGGACAGAGAGCCTCTTGCAAAGGGATGCCTGGGTAACAGCAGCCTCTCCATGAAGGAAAACCCACAGCCCCATGGCCATCAGCAGAGTAGTGACCAAGCCACCCCAACCAGGAGCCGCCTGTCCCCCGTGAGAGCCCTTCAGCTTTCGAGGCACAGTCAGGGCCGCTAATGTGCCTGCATGAAGGCATCACAGATGGCCAGTCAGACAGATGGGCAGCCGCCTGCCCAAGGGGAGACAGGGGCTTTCCCATGTGTGGGAACCCCCACACATTTATGCCTTCAAATCAGGTCCAATACAGGGTAACAACATATCTTTATAAAATTACGAATGCATTCAATTCCCCGTCCACCCTTTGCCCCTTCTCAGGAGTCAAGGGCACCGGCCCCCTTGCCTGTGGAGAATCTCAGTGAAAAGGGCCAAGTTACATTTCAAAATAAAGGGCTGACACAGAACCTGCTCAGGCGTCCTTAGAGACGGGAGGGCGAGTCACGGGGTAGCTTTAGGGTGTGGAGGAGATTGAGAGGGAAAGACAGGGGGAAGAGGGTACTCAGGGAGAGCAGCTGTGGCTAAGGATGCGGGGAGCCCCACCCTGGGCTTCAAGCCTTTCTCTGGCTGTCTCCACACTGTTTGCAGCCGCACAGGCCCGGGGCCTAACGCGGGCACTGGACACAGGGTGGCAGCTCTTACCACACCTCCCTGGTGAGTCTCTGCGTGGACTCCCCCAGGCAGGGGCTCTTGCACCCCCTTCACCCACGCAGGCAGCGCCTGCCTGACCCTCCTGCCCTCCTGCTCCAGCCTCTGGCCAGCGTGCTTTTTTTACTGTAACTTCCATGGACATAGTAAAGGATCCCACAGCCCAACTACTGTGGCCCATTCCAGCTTCCTAGTAGGGGAAAAACAAGAGGTGGAAGATACAAGAAATGTATATTACCTCTATTATGAGAAAAAATGACCTTATTAATTTTTAGACAGTAAAATAGAGCCCTGCATACTAAACTGTATCAAACACAACTAGTAAGTTACTAGAAGAGCTGTTACCTTTCATTAAAACAGAACTGTGGCATTTATCATCCTCAACAAGGGATGTGCATTTTGGGATCAGTTCTTAATCACTGGAAGAAACTCACAGGCCACCGAGGACCCCATATGATGCCTGTGGGAACACCTGGCCTGCCGATGGAGCCTCCCCCCAGGGGCACGGTGCAGAGCCTGGCCATCTGCAACCCCCAGCTAGGCCTCCCTCATGCACCCTCAGGGTGACAGCCCTCCGAACACACACCCAGCCCCACTGGTCACAGTTGCAAAGAGAGTGATGGGCCGAAAGCAAGAAGACAACCTTCAAAGCAGGAAGGAGAAATCCACCTATTCTCAGGTGTCTGCCCTTGTATGGAGGGCTGTTTGGGAGATATACAGGTATATCTGTCTCACGTTCACATCTATAGAATCACAAGAAGAGGGTGGCTGACCACTCTGGTGTCTCAGAGATCAGCTGAGGCTGCTCATATCAAGTAACCATGATCACATCGGAGCCGCAGGAGTTATAAATACACCACCACTGAGCCCCCACTGGATGACAATTGAGCAATGACAATAGAAATAGCTCACACCCCATAAGACCATCTTTCCCCTTCCTGAAGTATTCTGAAATCAACAACTCTGCAATGGAGAGATGGCAAGAGCCTCTTGAACTTAAAGAAAGTCTTCAAATCTTTCAGAAAATAGAAAAAGAGTCTCAAGGAAGAGCTGGGTCCCCGGTGCTCGAGTATCACGCAGCCTTGGTCTCGGGAGACCTGCACCGCCTAGAGCCTCTCATGGACCGGTTCTTCCAGGATGCCAACGTGGTGTTTGAGATGAAGAAGGATGAGATGGAATGGCAGGTGACATCTAAAGCCACGTTTGGACTGTCAGGTACCCCTGCTCCTTTAAAGCTCAGTTATCCATGTTTATCACTCCTTTGAATGTACAGCTCCAGACTGTTCACATATGTGCTGCATTTAACACACACTAGCAAAGGACATCTATCAATTAAATTCGGTTTGCATGAGTCTTGGGTGTAAGTTTTAGGTGATGGGATATAATAGATCAAATTGGAAAGGCCAAGACGCTGGTGAGAGGTGCCACCTGATGCTGGAAGCACCTTCACGGTATTTAAAAAAGAGCACTGGCGTGGGTGCTGATCAGCCAGTGCCTGCATTTGGCAGCGGGAGGGGAGGGAGATGGAGAAGAAGTCCTCTCCTCCCAGCGCGCAGGGAGCAGGCTCTGCAGGCAGCTCCGGGTGAGCTCCTTCTGTGAACCCGTGAACACCTTGGCTACAGCGGGGTCGCCAGGGCACAGCCAGCATCAACAGAGTGAGAGTGCTCAGCAGGTGCTCCCCCCCGGAACCTAGAGGAGCCGGAGAATTTTTGGGGGGTGGGCACAAGAGGTCATTAAGTCGTAAGTCTGGGTATATTTTTGCCAGCTGAACACTACTGTGGGGGAGGCAGAAACCCCCCCAAAGTGGAGAAACCCCTCTCCCTCGCCCAGGATGACTAGACATGCTCCCACCAGGCTGCATCTGGGCTTTCTAGGGTGGCACTCTGTATTGGGCACCCTCCCGCGCGGTGTCCAGATGCAACACATTTACCCAGAGGGTTTATGTGCCCGAATCCACAGCAGCTCTGCCAGACCAAGGGGACTGGAGACTCTGTGGTCTGTGGGCCAACAGCCAATGTCCCTGACTGCTGAACTCTGCCAGCCAGGAAGGCAGAGGGTCGCTTTCCAGAGAACTGGCACAGTTCTGTTCCCCTCTGACATGGGGAGAATGGCATCATGCCAAAATACAGTCAGAAGGCTAAGCAGCTCATAGCATCAGCGAGGTGGCAGGAGCTGCAGGGAAGGCAAATGCAGTCTGGTCTGGACTGGCCAGGAGTCCAGGGCCTCCTCCCCTTCCCCTGACCCGGTGGAGCACACACCATCCTCCAAGCATTGTGTGGCAATGTAACCAAGAATGCCAATTGCTTGAATGGTGGGTAGGGGTGTGCGTGCGTGCATGCGTGCATGCGTGCGTGTGTGTGTGTGTGTTTTCAATCACATGCCCACAGGCCTCCCAGCCTGGACCCACTCACCCTTGCTCAAATGCTGCAATTTCAAATAGATACTAATGCTAACCCATGTTCTGCAATCTTTCCTCCTTAATCTTCCCACCCCCCACGTTCTTAAGTTTTTCTCTGGTGCACTGGTAGGACAGAAAGCTGGGGCATGCTGACAGTGATGGGGTGTGCACCCTTAAGGGGAAAGGGGCAGCCCTGAGAGTGAATACTACCCACAGCTTCCATGTGGGCTGGGAAGAGAGGGTGGGCATCAATCAGGGCTGCTGGATTCCATGCCCATTTGGCTCGGCCCCCTGACCTCCTCTGCAGCTAGCCCAGAAGCAGAAACTACCAAATGCTGTTTGGCAGCAGTGGCCCCACATGCCCTGCCCTCTCCTGTGAGGACCACTGCCTGGTGGCCCACCTCAGCACCCCCAAGAACAGAGTCAAGGGGAAGAGGTAGACCTGGCAGGGCAGCCCCTCGGTGCCACAGCCCTGGTGGAACGCCGGCCCCGCAGCTGTCCATGCAGGGAGAGCACCAGCAGGGAGAAGCTGCTGGTTAGAGGGGTGTACCGCATGGAGAAGCTACGCCCACGGTCCTCCTGGCGGCAGAGCCTGCACAGCGCATGGGAATTAGGGGAAGCTGACTCAGCTTGCTGACCCAGAGAACCTCCTCAGAATCCTAGTTCTCTTGAAAGCCTGGGTAAGCTCATTGCCACCGCCCAGGACCTAGGCAAGGATTCTGGCCCTAAGCTATGGCTGAGCTAAATGCCCCCCACGGCCCTTTCCCATGAGTCCACGGGAAGACTTGGGAATCCAGGGTGAGTAAACAGAGGTATGGGGAGTGGGCAAACCTGGGTTGGGAATTACGCTGCCCTAGAGAATGGACCACCCCTTCCTTGCCCCAGTAAGTAGACATATCTCAGAAAAATGAGTAGAATCAAGAACCAGATCTGCCCCCTGCAGGAATGTGGGTCATCGCTATCACCAAGGACCATATCCACCCTCCCCATTTCAAATCCAACCCAGTCTTTGCTGGGAAGGGCAGTGCGAACCCATGCAGACCCATGGGCCCAGGGCCCCCGGCCACCACCAGGACAACAGGCCTCCACAGGCCCTGCAGAGTGTGCGACAACCTCCAGGCTGGGCCTCGGGAACATGGGCAGGCAGGTGGTAATTATGAGTGGTCTTTCGAAACTGCTCAGCATGGGTCCCAGAAGAAGGTGGCCTATGAAAAGGGTCTCCTCTGCAGCTCATTACGGCTACGGTATCGATTCTTCCATCATTATCAGAAGGCATTCCCGCCATGTGAAATCCTGTCCCTTGAAGTGTATTCACCAGGGATTGCTTCCCCCATTTCCACGGGCGCTTCTGGCAGCTAACAACCTTCCACCAGCCTTTTGAAAGCCCAAAGTTTTCAGAGAAGTAAAATAGATAGCACCTGCTCCATTTATTCTCAAGAAAGAGCAACTCTGTACACATACACACACACACACACACACACACACACACGCAAAACCCTAAAAAGCGCAAAGAAACAAACCAGGGTCACGCTGAATGCGGCGCACCACATCAAAGCCCGCTTCTGCCACTCAGCCACTTCCAAGAGGACTCAACTTGCTGAGTCTTTTCTTGGGCAACCTTGGAGCTGTGGGTCAGTTGGTTTTGTCTGTTGTCTTCTCTTAATGATAAAGGGACAAATTTGGGGCTCAACCGAGAGCTGGATTCCAGAAAAATCCACAGCTCACTCAAGCTGCCCCTGATTCAAGCCTGGAAAATGTGAATTCCTCCCTTACACTGTCCCACTGTCCACCCTGTTAGGTCAGCATTTAACCCCTTGAATCTTCTGTGGTCTGCGGTCACCCCTTCATCCGCCAAAACCCTCTTGCTTCTCGCCGCCCCGTTCTCCCTGGCGCAGTTTCAGCCTCACTGACCTCCTCCTTTCCCCGCTCCAAGTCCCCAAACGTCTCCCCGTGCCTGCGGGACTCCCCTGCGGTCTTCCCACCGCGCTCCTGGGGTCTCCCTGCCCCTCTGCTCTTTCACCTCCGCCTGCGTCTTGCTCTCCCGCTCCCGCGTGTCTGCCTGGATCTCCCTGGCTTCCTGGGTCCCACGTCCTCTTCTTCTTTGTACGTCTCACTGCACGCCCACCTGGTACCTGCTTCTGAGGGATGGTTTCGCCCTATCTCGGCCCCACTGGACGCCACCCGCAAAGCACTCCACTCACCTCACCTCCCTCACCCAGGCCTCTGGACCCTGGAGTACAAACGCGAGCTCACCACGCCCCTGTGCATCGCGGCGGCCCGCGGCCACACGGCCTGCGTGCGCCACCTGCTCGGCCGCGGCGCGGACCCCGACGCCAGCCCCGGCGACCGCGGAGCGCTGCACGAGGCCTGCCTGGGGGCGCACACGGCCTGCGCCCAGCTGCTGCTGCGGCACGGCGCCCACCCCGACCTGCCCAGCGCCGAGGGGCTCGCGCCCCTGCACTGCTGCCGCACGGCCGCCTCTCTCGGGTAAGGACGCGGCCCCGGCCCCGGCCCCCACCCCAGACCCGGGCGGCGCCCCGGCCGGCCTCGCCCCCCGCCCGTCCCGCCTCCAGACCCTGCCCCCGGGCCCAGCGGGGCCGCCGCCCTTCCTCGGCCCCCAGTCCCCGGACCCCGGCCGCCGGGGCTCTACCCCAGCCCCGGCCCCGGAACGCAGACGCGGGCCCCCCACGCCTCGGGAGGGCCCCCTGGCCTCGAACCCCCGACCCCCGGCCCCGGCCCCCCGCCCCGGGCGGGTCTAATTAGCGCTGATTGCGAGCGGGAGGGAGGCGCCACGCCGGGGTAATGAGCGGTGAGTGATCACCGGCCTGCAGACGCCGGCGCCGGAGAATGCTAAAAGGCCACTGGTGGGGTTGGAGGCTGAAAAATTAGGGTTTTTAATGATAATTTTATGCAGAATAATTGTCACAGTGTGACAGAAATGGTTAGCTCCGCGGGCGGGGCTTCGGAGCCCCACGAGGGCGCCGAGCTGCGCGCCCACCGCCGCCAGTGGCCGGTCCCGCAGGTCCCGCGGCTGCCGCGTCCAGCCCCCGCTGTCCCTACACGGGGTCTGCCCGCGGGGTCCCTGGAGGAGCGACGGGACCACGGCGTCATTGCACAGCGTTCAGGTCCGGGGTTCTCAGTTTGCATTGTGTCATCTTGACATTTCTTGAGACAGAATGTTCTAGTCCCTGCCCTCAGGGTTATAATTGCTTAGCGCTCTCTCTCCCTCTCTTTCTGGATTAAATAAAATCACCATTTTCAGCGGGGGCAGACAGGGTACTGGGCTGTCAGTGACCAAAGCAGGGAACCATCCACCAATGTCCCCCGAGGTCAGGGCAGTGACTCAGAAAGGCACACAGACCCCCAAGAGGGGAGTGTGACTGAGGGAAACAGTTCAAACAAAATATTTTTTAAAAGCAGCTTTACCGAGGTGTAATTGACATGCAGGAATCTGCACGTGCGGGAAGTGTACAGTTTGATAAAGCGGGACACACATACCCACTCCTGGAAGCACCCCCACAATCAAGACAATACAGCTCCCAACCATCTAAACTACAGCCCTGCTGTTTCGGCTCACCCAGTTCCCCACTGTCCCACTGATATGCTTCTTGTTGGGAATTTGCTAGAATTTTATATTTTATCTGGCTTCTTTCATGCAACAGAGCTACCTTGAGATTCATGCTCTGGTTGTTATGTATCCATAATTCCCTCCTGTTCGTTGCTGAGTGGTATTCCACGGTATGGGCATACCACCGCGTGTTTATCCATTCATATGTTGAAAGACAGTTGATTGTTTGGAGGCTATTACAGATAAAGCTGCTATGAACATTGATGTACCAGCTTTTGTCTGGCCATGTGCTTTCATTTTTTCTGGATAAATACCTAGAATTGGAATGGCTGGGTCAGAGAATATGATTAAGAGAAACTTTTAAGACATGGCCCCACTGGTTTCCGGAGTGGTCGTGTCATCTTACAGCCCCACCAGCAGTGTATGGGGATGCTAGCTGCTTCACACCCCCGCCAGTGCAGCACACCTGATTGCACCTATTCTCATGGGTGTGCAGAAGTATATTGCTGTCATTTGATATGCATTTCCCTCATGACAAATGAGGTTTTGAGCATCTTTTCATGTGCTTATTTGCCATCCATACATTTTCTTTCATGAAGTGCCTGTTTAAATTTTGTGCCCATTTTAAAAATTAGCTTCTTTGTTTTCTCCTTAGATTTTGGGATTTCTATATATTTTGGATACAAGTCCTTTATCAGACATGTGCTTTGTAAATATTATCTCCCAAGTCTCTAGGTCACATTTTCTTCTCTCAAAAGTCTCTTTTGTTCATAAATACAGAGAACAAATTGGTGATTGCCAGAGAAGAGGGAGGCAGGGGGATGGGCAAAATAGGTGAAGGGAATTAAGAAACACAAGTGTCCAATTATAAAATAAGTCATGGGGATGAAAAGTACAGCATAGGATATATAGTCAATAATCTTGTAAATCTTTGTATGGTGACAGTTGGTAACTACATCTACCATGGTGAGTATTTTATAATGTATATAATTGTCAAATCACTGTGTACATGTGAAACTAATGTAATATTGCATGTCAACTGTACTTCAATTTAAAATATGACTTTCCTAAAAAGTCAATATATTTGTAAGGATTTCCTTACCTGTATATTCAGATCTTTACCTTCTGAAAAAGCAAAATATGCTTTTTTGGATAAAAACTAAGGCAGAGAGGGTTACAAAATATCACTTAACCACAGGACAAGTAGATTACCAGAGAAAGTTTAGATAAGTTTTTTAAAATACTTTGAGGTAGAGAAGCCAGGAAAGTACAGGTGAGAATGAGAAGAAAGAAGGTAGGATGCCTACATGCTTCAAGGCAGGCAGATAGAAGAGAATGGATTAAGAGGGCCTTCTGCTTTTTAATCTTGCACACAGACAGAATGGCAACAGCATTTGTTACCCAATCTTTGGGAACAGATGTAAAGACCCTAACAAATGTAGTAGAATGGTTTCCATGTAAGAATTCTTTCTTGGCATTCTTAGGAAATGCATGTTTTTTAGAATTGCATATTCTGAGGAAAATTGGTTAGGAACATGGGAAAATATAATTCTGTGAAAATTAGATTTTTAACAATCAACAGAAAGATGTCACTGATTCAAAGGAATCCACTGACAATTAAATTCAAAAGCAAGATTAAGATGGGTTGATGCACCATCAAAGGTCAAGTTCAGCATTTCTGAGGCTCAGAGCAGGCCTGTGGAGTTGTCATGGTCTGATCAATGTGTCCTGCTTGCAGTTGTTGCCACGTTACAAGTGTTTGTTTCTGGTCTCACGTGCTGTAAAAGGTGAGCCATTTTGCAAGTTAAAGAAATATTAATATTTTGAATATTGAAGAAGATTCTTAATTTTGGTGGAATCCAGTTTATCCCAGTCTTTTTCTTTTAAGGATTGTCTTGGGTTATTGTATCTAAAACATCTTTGCCTAACACAGGGTCACAAACATTTCCTCCTATGTTTTCCTCCAGAAACTTAATAATTTTACATTTTACATTGAAGTCTATGACCCATTTTGAGTTAATCTCTGGATATGGTGTGAGGTATACATTGAAGCTTTCTTTTCTTTGCATGTGGATTTCCAGTTGTTCAGCACCATGTGTCAAAAAGCCTTTCCTCTCTCCACTGAATTGCCTTTGTTCCTTTGTGGAAAATCAACTGACTACATATGCATATGTTTATTTTTAGACTGTCTTGTCAGGTACACACAAGGGCAAGTTCGGACAGATTCAATTGATAAGGATCCAAAGAGCCACTCTTAGATTCAAACCACTCATCACTTACTAAACAGTGAAAAGAACAGCCAAAGATGCCAATTCCTTGTGCTTCTTGCCCTATACAACAAAAAGGATAACACGTAACAAAAAAAGGGACCAGATAATGACAATATGAGTAGTGGGTTACCCTGTTGCTGGGCAGCCAAATGTAGACTTCAGCTGAGTCTGCAGCTCTACTCTGAGAGGGACAGGGCAGGAGGCCCCAGACCTCATCAGAAGCCACGAGGCAATGATAAACTGTGTCGTGACAGCCATCCAAGGGATTTATGGAGGCAAGTAGATGATGGTCTTATTATAACAGCATCCTACAAACGTCCTGTCCAGGAGATCCTCAGGGTATTCTGACAATTAGATCAGCAGTGGTTCAAACCTCTGTTTGCATGGCCCACATCAATACATGCAAGGTGGCCAGGGCTCCTCTATCTCTATTCTGTTTCATTGATCTATTTGTCTTTTCGACAGCAATACCACATTGTATGGAACCCCAGAGGTCTGTGAAAAATACTGAAGTCAGGTAGTGTGAGCTCTCAAGCATCTTTCTTCTTCTGGCTATTCTAGCTCCTTTGCATTCCCATATAAATTTTAAAATTACTTTCTCAATTTCTACATGACTGGGGTTGTTATGAATCCATAGACCAGTTTGGGAGAATTGACATGATAAACACAATAAAGCTCTCCATTTATTTAGGGCTTTAATCTCTCTCAGCTATTATAGTTTTCAGTGTTCAGAGCTTGCACGTATTATGTCAGACTTATCCCCATTTTGCGCTTCTTGATCCTTTGTAAATGGTAGTTTTTAATTTAAATTTCTAACTGTGCATAGCCATTATATAAAATTGATAATTAGCTGTTTTTGCATATTGATCTTATATCCTGTGGCCTTGCTAAACTCAATAATTATTATAGTATTTTATTGTGAATTCCATAGGATTTCTATGTAGGCAGTCTGGATGCATTTTATTCCATTTTCTTGCTTTATTGCACAGGCTAGGGCCTCAAGTGCAATGTTGAATAAAAATAGTGAAAGCAGACAATTTTTTGGCTTATTCTGTATAACTTTGTTGTGTTATTTTAGTAGTTGCTTTGGGGTTTATAGTATACCTCTTTACTTTATCACAGTATGCCCTCAGTATGCCCTGAGACCATTTTATGTACAGGATAAAACCACATGACAGTATACTTACATTTTCTCTAGTATCACACATTTTACTTCTATATGTGAGCTCCACAATACATTGTTAATTGGTTTTGTTCAGTTAATTGTCTTTTAAATATACTAAAATAATAAGAAAAAAGTGTTTACATTTACCCATGTAGTTCTTATTTCCAGTTTCCTTCATTCCTTTGTATAGATCAAAGGTTTCCTCTGGTATCATCTTCCTTCTGCTTGAAGGGCTTTCTTTATAGTGGTGGTCTGCTGGTGTGAATTCTTTCAGTGGGCATGTTTGAAAAAGTCTTCATTCCACCTGAGTGTTTAGAAAGTACATTTGCTGGGTAGAGAATTCTGCTTTGATATGGGTGTTTTTCTTCCAGTGATTTAGACACATGGCTCCACTGTCTTCTAATGTAATTATTTTCAGAGAAATCTGCTGTCCTCCTTATCTTTGTTCTTCTGTACATCATATCCTTTTTCCTGGCTTTAAGAT